ATCCTCTAACACTTATCCAAGAAATCCTGGGCATCCTCGCCCTCTGCACCACTGAAGGTCGGAGGCTGAAGTCTGCCAAACCTCTCAAACCTACACTGCTCGTCCTCTAGCATGGCAGGAACTACATAGTCCTGAGCGGCTGCAACCGGTTGGGCTGGATGTGCCCCCGGTGTCTAAAGTCCCTACACAACCTGCTCAGGTGTGCGATCGGTGGGCGTCTGAGTGCCTCCCCCGGCCTGAGAAGTAGCTACGGTTGTAATAACTTAGACCACCCGAGCTAGGCTAGTGCATATTGACAGAATCTGAGCCAAGGCCTCCTGAAGACCTAGAATCACAATGGGCACAGCTGGTGCCTGAGCTGGTGCTGCTAGAGCGTCCACAGCTAGGACCTGATCCTGAACTGGGGTGACTGGTGGATCTGCAGGTGCTGCCCTAGCTGGTGTGCGGGCCACACCCCTGCCCCTACCATGACTACGACCACGTCTTCGGCCTCTAGTGACCACAGCTGGTGGTACTGGTGGTCTTCCATCTTGATCGGTAGCGTGTATCCTCACCATCTATGAGAGAATAGAATAATAGAAGTTTAGTACTCGGATCAACATATTCACACAACAAGAATTTCAAGAATATGAAGTTTTTCCTAAAGGTTCTGCTGCTTCTCGAGGATAAATACAGACGTCTCCGTACTGATCCGCGAGATCTACTAAACCTGCTCATGACTTGTGAGACCTATGTAACCTAAGCTCTAATACCAACTTGTCATGACCCTAAACCCGAATCCGATCGTGATGGCGCCTCTCATGAAGACAAGGCCAGCCGACATGTTCCCAATTTAATTTTTAGCAATTAAGTAATAAAACTAAGTCTTAATCATAATCATAAATCCCAAAATAAGGTAAATAATACAGTTTGCAGAAAAAGACATAGCCCGACATCGGGGTGTCACCAGTCATGAGCATCTATAATAATATTACAAGTCTGAAAGAGTCTACTCCACTATTACATAATTAAAACAGAAGGAAATAAGATAGAGGGAGAAGCACTGGGCTGCAAATCGCCGGGCAGCTACCTAGTGAATCTCCGGAATCTGCTAGACAGCTCTCAACCCTCGCAAGCAGGACCTGATGTGCCTGAATCTGCACAGGGGGTGCAGGGAGTAAAGTGAGTACTCCAAATCAGTGGATAATAATAATAAATGCAGACTGAGTAATAAGAAACCACACAAAGCCACATCAACAGGCTATAAAGAAACAGTAAAAGCCAGTAAAAACAATGAAGCAATAAAAATATGTGAAGTCACTTTAGTTCAGTTTAAACTTCTTAAAAAGTGCCTTTTTAACAATTAAGCAAGTAAGTGACAGGAAGCTAGAAAAGATAAACACATAAAGAACCGCCCCTCGGGCACAATACCACAGAATCAGCCTCTCGGGTAACACATGGAACAATACTAGCCCCTTGGGCTATATCTCACGTCACAATGGGTACCCGCGCTCACTGGAGGTGTGCAGACTCCTGGAGGGGCCTCTTACATCCCAAGCGCAATATCAAGCCATCTCATGGCATCATCACTAGGCTCTTGGCCTCATATCAACAAGCCACCTCGTGGCGTACAAAACTTAGGACCTCGGCCTCATAATCATAATCAATGTTTCCTCACAACATAGGCCCTTGGCCTTACTCAGTCAGAATCTCACAAGCCACTCAGGTAACAGTAAAACATGGTGCTCAACCCAAAATATCATTTAAAATATCATTTAAGTGTTAAAGTGTTGTAAACATGGCTGAGTTATGAAAATATAGAATATAGCATGATCGAGTTCAAGTATAGAGTCAAAACAGTGAGGAAATATCAGTAAAAATCCCCTAAGGGTTCAAATAGTTGTTACGAGGCCCAAATATGGTATTCAGTCCAAAACATGATGATAACAAACAATTTTCAATCAAATACGCGGTAAAACAATCATTCAGGATGGACTAAGTCACAATCCCCAACAGTGCACGATCCCACACTCGTCATCTAGCATGTGTGCCACCTCAATATAGCACAATGATGTGCAATTCGGGGTTTCATACACTCAGGACAACATTTACAATCATTACTCACCTCTACCCGGTCCAAATCTATAGCTCACGATGCCTTTGCCCCTTGAATCGCCCTCCGGATGCTCCAAATATAACCAAAATCAGTGCAAAACCATCAAAATATGCTAAGGGAACAAAGCCCACTCGAAAGAAATTAATGTCACGCCCCAAAAACCGAGGGGCGTGACCGGCGCTCGACCGGGTAGCCCCCAGCCAAGGGACCTGGGTGCCTTTCCTATTACACGTGATACCCTGCGTTTCCATTACCCATTAACCAAGTGAAATAGCCATTTATAAATTTAAACACATTCTTACGAGATTTACATAACATGCATAGTTACTTAGCATGGTTTACAAGTTATACTGCCCAAAATATATAAGTACATAACCCATATTTCCAGTCTACGGAGCCTCTAGAGATATAGAAGAGTGTTACAATACTTGCTGGTAACAAGGCTCCGGCTATAACTTACGAAATACCAAAACAAAATTTTCGGGAGGATAAGTGGCATGAGCCACGCAGGGCCCCGAGAGGAAAGGGGCTCACCAATTCAGCTGACGGGAGGTGAAGGAGTGCTACTGTCGGTGGGCTGGAGTACCTGTTATCGAACCACCTACAATCATAACATGAATGTAGCGCCCCCGACAAAAGGGACGTCAGTACATTTGAATTGTACTGGTATATATGAACAAACTTTACCCTAATTAAAATCAAGAAATGCACAGATAACAAACAGTAATAGAATCAACAATCAAATGCACATGAAAGGAACAACCAAAGCCAAACAAACTCCACAATCTCTCCTTTTCCCCTTTCAACATTATTACATCACATCAATGATTTTACAACTTTCACATATTTTTATTTCAATATTGATTTCGATCACTTTTCCACCCTTATTACCTCGGCCACCCTTATTACCTCGGCTACCCTTATCGCCACAACCACACCTTATAACTTCGTGTTGCGGTGCGCAACCCGATCCTACCGAACAATCACATTTCACACGACGACAACAACAATTCACAAAGAATTTTCATAAACGTCAATACCATTTCCATCATATGCAACAACCCGTATACAACTTAAGTCACAATGATAATTGCCCGCGACAAGTCATGTATGATATTACCACAGTTGTTTCAATTGCATAAATTACGATTTCTTTCCATCATTTGTTACATAGCTCTTACCACATAAACACATTCACACAGACACTTGGTTTGTTGCCATTTACTTACACCCTTATATCGGGAGACTTAACCAACAACATTCAAGGCATAATAATCACAAGAATTCGTAAATAGTCCACATAAGTAACACATACCAATTACTCGTACACCAAACAAGGTGACTTTACAAAGGTTAAAGTTAGTAATACATACCTGGAGTCGAATTCCCCCCCGCCCCCTTTTCTTCTATTTCCAATTCACCAACAACCTAGTACCATCAATCTAGTTCACAAGTTAACACATATAACTTAGAATTGAAGTTCACAAACTCAGCCCGAACTTACTTAGGTTATCAACCCCACTTTTGCAAATCTTTAGTTCTACCCAATTTCTCTTACTAGATTCTAGATTTTAAAGGACATGCATGTGTATCTCAACTTCCATTTTCAAGAATTAACGCATGAGAATTCCCCTTTTTGTTTAAATCTGAAAACAATGAAAAAGGGTTGGGGATTTTACCTGCAAGAACGGAGATGAAGACAATTACTTGAAATTCCCCGCCCCGAGTGACTTTGAAGAATCAAATTGATGAAGGTAGGACTTTATCTCTCAAGAATTCTCTCTTCCCTCTCTCTAGTTTTGTTCAGAAAATATGTTAAAATAAGGGGTTGGGGTGTTTTATTGAAGAAGGGGTCGGATTTAAAATTTAGAAAAATAGAAGCGCGAGTTAGGTATGTGATCGCACAGTAGAAATGCGGTCCGCAGAATGGACCGCAAAAGTGCTCCCAAAATCTGAACACACTGCCTGGGTATGTGGCAGAAATGCGGTCCGCATACTTATTATGCAGTCACATAGTGCACCGCAGAACTGCCCCTCACAAAATCCCAAGGGAAATATGCGATGACTATGCGGTCCGCATATCCGTTATGCGATCGCATATTGGACCGCATATTTAACCTCCAATTCGACCAACACACTGACTCACTTTGCGGCGATTATGCGGTCCGCATATCTGTTATGCGACCTCATTCTAGACCACAGAATTGCATTTCCTGGAAAATAGTATTTCTTGACTTTTTATAACATAGATCAGTACCAAAAGGGTCCGAACCGCGGCTCGCTTAATTTTACATATTCCTAACATATATTCGGAACTTGGCACCACGAGCTACCCGGTTTTGAGTACAAGTTTTCATGGGGCCTTAAATCCTCCCCCACATAAAATCATTCATCCTCGAATGAGGATTTTGGAAATCGGTTGGTTTTGAAAACATGATATGCAAACTCCCAATTCTTGAAAAAAAAAATAAAATTCCAGAGTTCCCTTTGTAATTAGACTTATCTACATGTCAGAGAGCCCCCAAAACATTATTTCCAAGCACCATTACGCTATCCCTATTATCCCTACAACTGGTATACAATTCACTACCTCAACACCTGCACATAATTTGGCAACTTCAATGAGTTCCATACAGTTCAACCACTCCAATACACTATGTGTATTCCAATTAATCATTACCAATCTACACTGCCTTTAATCATTCACTTATCACATGAGTTCTTACAAAACTTTCATTTACCAAACAGGGGCTTGCGCATGACTCAATTAATCACAACACATACAATTCTTGCACAACTTGAGGAGTTACAATAGTAAAGCATTTAGGGAAAAATATGGGGTGTCTTTGCACCAGATTGAACACAACATCAGTTTACTTAGAGACAAGAGTTCGCACGATCACTACTAGACTTGTTCAAACAGATGGGGATATTTTTCTTTCATTTCACTTTCCACTTCCCACGTGGCTTCCTCGACTTGTTGACTTTGCCATAGCACTTTAACTGAAGCAACTTCCTTGTTTCTCAATTTGCGGACTTGCCTATCAAGAATAACGACTGGAATTTATTCATATGATAACTCTTCATGGACCTTGATAGCCTCGATTGGCACGATGATGGATGGGTCTCCAACCACTTTCTTTAACATAGACACATGGAACACTGGGTGCACTAACGATATTTCAGGGGCAATTCCAGTCTATAGGCCACCTGTCCTATCCTTTGAGTGACCCAATACGGCCCGACATATCTAGGACTCAACTTCTCTTTCTTCCCAAATAGCATGACTCCCTTCATAGGAGATACCCTCAAGAACACCCAATAATCTACTTGGAATTCCAATTTTCTTTGATGAATGTCCGCATAAGATTTCTGGCGACTCTGAGCAGCTTTCAGCCTTTCCTGAATGATTTTAACTTTTTCTATAGCCTGGTGCACGAGATCTGGCCCTAACAATTCT